CCATTGTGTAGCTTTGTGCTTAATTACAAACAGGAACCTTATTTAATATAAAGAGTAGCTTATATAATAATGTTATTAACCGCTGGTTAAGTGTTAAAATTTGAATATCTTATGAAATCGAACTTATCTCTAAGTACTTCACATACCGATTTCCAAACCATACAATATTTAAACTTTGATTCAGCATTGATTTGAAATATTATGTTTGGTAATGTTGTAAGTATGAGACGAAATTATGGTAGAAAATTAGCTTATTCTAAATTCTAACTGTGAGTAGAAGCGAATAATGTTATATAATTACATGAATATTATAATATATCCCTTTGTGTTTATCATACCTATCTCAACATAACCACGTCGAAAAGAGCCTGTAAATAAACCTATCTGAAAATATTTGGTAGGACAATAAATTCAGAGCATATAAGGTTTTATATAACTTTAGGTGTTGCCAAAATGCAAAATGGACAAAACTGCTTCTAGACGATGACAAGTAAAACCCTAAAGTTATCTTATTCTATACCCATACTACAATAATCCCGCGTTTCAGCTTCACACTATCGTCATTATCTGATAAAAAACCTAAAGTTATTTTACACCCATATTACAACAGTCCCGCGTTTCAGCTTCACACTATCGTCATTATCTGATAAAAAACCCTAAAGTTATTTTACACCCATATTACAACAGTCCCGCGTTTCAGCTTCACACTATCGTCATTATCTGATAAAAAACCCTAAAGTTATTTTATACCTATAACACAATAGTTCAGCGAAACCACTTTTGAGCTTCACAATCTTGTCTTGTTTAACAAAACCTGAAGTACGTATATTAGCTCATCTGTAATACGACTCAACTATCTACGTTAGTTTCAGACAATTACTTAAGAAGTCTTGGTGATGATGAAAAACAACATGACTAGTAAAACCTAATGAAAGTAAAAATACTTTACTGAAGTACATTTGACGTCATAAACTGAAATCCTACTCGTACACACACAATCTCTTGACATTTATGAAATACAATGTACTACAGAAATAGCAACATCTACTATAGGAGTAACTTGAACTGCATTTTATATTTAATCTACACTATCAAAGTTGCTTTAAAAATCGACAGTAATATATTAGCCACTGGCTATTAACTTACTTCTGGTTCTGTAACTTCATAACAAATGATAATTGAGAATTCTAATATATCATATCCGTTTTAAAGAAAGTGAATATAAACACGCTGCAACCTGTACAATTATGGGAATATAACATGTTTAACACAGTTTGAAAATATCATAAAATATGAACACAATTTATCAGAAACAGCGGTACATATTGAAGGAACGATTAGAACAAGCGTTTCTAGAGTGAAGTAACTCAGAACGTCTAACACTTGTTCCGTAGATTACAAAATCTTAAAACACAAAGCAGTGAGATTGTACTCCGTGCTACACGATGAGGAAATCCTATAGGTTCAATTAGTTTCAGTAACTTAAAACACGTGCTCATAGTTACCAATTAAGTTCAGTAACTTAAAACACGTGCTCATAGTTACCAATTAAGTTCAGTAACTTAAAACACGTGCTCATAGTTACCAATTAAGTTCAGTAACTTAAAACACGTGCTCATAGTTACCAATTAAGTTCAATAACTTAAAACACATGCTCATAGTTACCAATTAAGTTCAGTAACTTAAAACACATGCTCATAGTTACCAATTAAGTTCAGTAACTTAAAACACGTGCTCATAGTTACCAATTAAGTTCAATAACTTAAAACACATGCTCATAGTTACCAATTAAGTTCAATAACTTAAAACACATGCTCATAGTTACCAATTAATTTCAATAACTTAAAACACGGAATTTCTACTTATTTTCTTAAACATTTGCTAATTTTTAAATTAGAAATACACTTTAACTGTATTGATCTAGTGTTTTTAACTACACGGCTGATGTAGTTTGGCTACTAAAACAAAGTTTTAAATTCAGATAAGGTTTATCTCCTAGTCTTTGTCTGAATAGGTGAAAAACGGTATCCGGTATTCGTTAAATTGTAGAAATGTGACTTATTTACCCTCATCTATATATTATGATTAACTATCGTTAACGAAACGCTAAAAGAAAGTAGGGTTAGGAGAATATCATTCTAGACTGACGCACATAGTGTTTTTGATAATTTGAATTAAATCTTCCAGTAGTAGTAGTAGTAGTATGTGTTACATTTCCACAGACTTTGATCTTCCAATAGTAGTACGTGTTACATTTCCATAGACTTTGATCTTCCAATAGTAGTACATATTACATTTCCACGTCACATCCACAGAATTTGTTCAGTTTACAGTTCAGAACCATTTCTCTATAACTATTAGAGATTTTTTAAAAGTCAAGTTTCGTACAATTTTTTAATCTAATTTCATTCTCATTCGTATACCTGAATCCAGACTATTTTATAATTTATTTTATTATTTAATAATCAGGGTATAGAGACTTATGCTTAACTTAATTCTTAGCGTGAATTAAGTTTGTCTCATATCAAAATATTTTATTGATTTTCACGTGAATTGCTAATTGTGAGCGATTTCCACAAATAATGTACTATAAATTATTTCGGGAAGTGTTCTTATCCATTACATACTTCCAAGTTTCATCTGTTTATTTTTCGTACTTTATAACTGTATCCGATTTAGATTTTTTTTTTTTTATTCCGGCAACCCTGTATAAATGACCTGATGCTAAGATAGGGTTTCACTTTAGGAGCGGATTATCTAGTTTCAGCTGGATAGTACTGGTGTGGAGTAGTGTTTTGTTGTTTCATTCGAATCAAGATTACGTTACACATCCACACCCCACAAAAGCATGCATGGAACATGAATTATCCTATATCATAGTTACACGTACATAGTATAATATCAGTCATACGTGTATACGGTGTAAAGCTTCTATTTCAACAATATCAACATTACTCAAGGCATACGTGTATACGGTGTAAAGCTTCCAATACAACAATATCAACATTACTCAAGCCATTCGTGTACCCAATACAACAATATCAACATTACACAAGACATACGTGTATACGGTGTAAAGCTTCCAATACAACAGTAACAACATTACTTCAGGCATACGTATAAGCATGTATGTACCATATCAAAGTTTACACTACACTGACATGTACGACTTGTACCCGATGATGACAGAACCTTGTCGAAACATTGTACATTTGCTGTTATATTAAACTTATATTAAAGTTCTTCATTGGCCATTCAAGCCGTCTCTAAGCATTATCAGTGCGTCAAAGTTTAAATACAAGTATCAATATATCAGAACATCAATGGGTACACCACATACACGTTTATCACTACATCAAATGTTATATCATATGTCAGTGCATCGAAACTAGCATTGCATATAAACTCATATAAATATCTAATTACACCAAAAACATATACCCGAAAGACAGATAAAAAATGCAACTAACCAAATACATTGTAATCGAAACGTATTAGATGTGATGTAGCAACGTGTATCAATCTGTAGTCCCTTGTGGATATTCTGAATGATTTCATGTGTTACTTGAACAAAAATAAGCTATATGTGGATACGTTATTTAATTCTGTTTGTAGTTCTAAACGTCTCCGATCAGTGTATCACCGAATAAACAAGCCAGATTGCTTACCCGTTACCAAGTGATAACCGTCCTTGACTGTGACTATTGCCGGTCTTTAATTGGTCGACACAAGCAAGTGGCTCAGTTGATAAACAACAGTATGTGTACATTAGTGAACGTTATATATATATTCGCCTAGTTCCACACAAACACATACATGAATCTATCTTGTAGAATGGTCAAATCCTTTCAGAATGATTAATTAATATACAGAGGAGTTTAAAAATCAGAGTTTATCATAGTGTGGTGATTAAACTATTTGTGGCTGAAAAACTAATAATATATAAGTTCACAAATACGTTTTTATCATAATCTGATCAATAAGATACTCGTACGTTGACCGAGTTACAAGTTACTGCTTTATCTAATCCTCTGGAGCTGGCTGATAATTAGAATTTATTTCTTCCTATTTCATTTATATAAAACAACATTTAAGTGGTAAATCTCATGAACAAAATAAACAAAACAGCGAGAACAGTGTCAGTTATTATCTTTGCACAAATTCAGTCAAATTATGATTTCAAGTGATTTGCAGTTTCCACGACTTCAAAGTAGCGAATCTGTGCTTATTTATGCTACAATTAAAGGCGAAAATAGGTTTTATTACAAAGTGTATTTCAATACGTAAGCCACATTTTATGCTAACACTAACGAAAGATGAGTCAATCCGATGTATGTTTATAGGAAGCCCATGCAAGCTTCAGTTGGAGAGTATAAACTTACAGTAAATTAATAACATTTTATAGTTACTGTACTTACGTTTAGGGTTAGGACATAAATATATCATTAAGATATTGATGAATAGAGTAAATAAATTTAAGTAATATCTTTTTCCATAAAGGAAATGTATCGATATTTTAGTAAACTAATAAGGTTACTATAAATTAGAGCAGCTAAATTTGGGAAACGTAATTCCCAGTGGGATCGAATTAGTAATAGAATGTAGATAATGTAATAAACGTATAATTAGCTGTTTACGTTCCAAACTCAACGTACTACATACTGCTAGTTTTTATGCTGAGGACATTTAGGTTAGCACAAAACTTCTTAATTGTGCTGAACGCTTGTAGATTAAATAGATATCATATAACTTGTAAGTTTAAGCCTCGGGCTTATTCAAAATAATTATTCTGGTGTATTAACCTCAATAACTTTCAGGTCACTAATGCTATAATGTTCTAAGATTATAGATTTAAATGAATAATATAGTATTTTGAAAAATAAATTTATTTGGATAATATCGATTAATGTAAATGCATAATATTTTAATATTTTTAAAGTGATCTGCAGTTCAGTTAAACACGGTGAATATACACGACTACTATTTTTATATCTGTTTAGGAGACATGATGAAAGAGCAGACACAGACAAAATCTTCCTGTTTAACCGAATCCAAAAAACTAGAGGAAAATGATGAGGATTCCGAGGGGTTAGACTGGGATCCTGAAGATCTTGCTCACATACCTGAGCCTCCTAATGGTGGATGGGGATGGATAATCGTACTAGCATCCTTCCTCTGCAATATGGTTGTAGATGGGGTTTCGTATTCCTTTGGAATATTCCTCATGGACTTTGTGAGTTACTACGGTGCTCCAAAAGGCAAAACAGCCTGGATCGGTTCACTTCTGTCAGGAGGGTATCTTAGTTCAGGTAAAGATTTTACAGTTTATGTTAAACTGTTTTGTGTGTATTTGAATAACTTTTTTTTACTATCAGGAAGGTATCTAAGTATTGGTAAAATAAAGTTTTACTGTCAGGGATGTGTCTCAGACCAGGTAAGGTTTTTATTGCTAGGGACTAAAGTAGGTTAAAGCTTTTACTTTCAGAGAGGTGCTTAAGGTCTGGTAAAGTTTTATTGTCAGGGAGTTCCTTTGGTCTAGTAAAGTTTTTATTGTCAGGGAGTTCCTTAGGTCTGGTAAAGTTTTTATTGTCAGGGAGTTCCTTAGGTCTGGTAAAGTTTTTATTGTCAGTGAGTTTCTTAGGTCTGGTAAAGTTTTTATTATTAGGGATATTAGGACTAGAGCCGTATCAAATCAATTTGTTAGGTTGTGGAATGAAAGAACAGTCACGTTTTAATCTTTATTAAATATTACTTAAAAATGACACATTAAAACGTAAAAAATAATATTTTTGGTTATGATAATCATTGAAATTACTACTCAATGTCATGAAATACACAAATGTTAAAATTTCTTCGTTAAAGTACATTTTAACCATAAAGATTATATTAATATTAGACTCCATAAAAATCGTTACTAAATTCAAAGTGAAACCACGAAACGTAATATTAACAATTTTTCTTATCTTGTTCTTCTTACCTAGGTGTTTTCGTAAGTGGCTTAACAAACCGATTTGGCTGTCGGCCTGTCACCATTGCTGGAAGCCTGATAGCATGCTTAGCTTTTCTACTGAGTACAGTGGCCCCTAGTGTTGACGTGCTGATGTTCACCTATGGCTTCATGGGAGGTGAGCAGATCCTAAGACTAGTTGAATAGGAAGTGACTATGTCCACGTACAAAAGAGTTGATTCTCTGATGTTACATCTGAAAATTTGATAGTACAGCATTTAATTTTTCTCATATTAGGATATCAGAGAAAAATAAAAAATAATAGTTTTACAAATTGGAAATAGCTAAATGCTTTATCTGAAAATATAATCGAAGGTAACTAAATCACGTTCCAGCTCATTTATACGTGTGGGAAGTTGTGTAAGTGTAAGCTCCTCTTTCGCTATTAACGGCATTTATTCTGTTGCTACGTTAATGTAACATATTTTCTATTGACATATATCAATTCTTAGCACCATACTCACTGTTGATACTGTATGAATGTGTTAATGTTGATGGTACATGGATGCATCATATTTAGTGTTAATATACAGTTGTAATAAATTTTATGTTAGTATAAACAATGTAGTACAACGTTTATTGTTGTGTGAAACGAGTTTGAAGGTCGAAAAAAGTTGCTGGATTGTTGAATCTTTATTGTTTTTTAAACATTTGTGTTTGTAAGAATAAATAATGTAAAATGGTTGGTGTTACTTATACATTTCTATTGGCTGTTAGAAGTATAAAATGGTTAGTGTTACACATTTTTGTTGGCTGGTAGAAGTGTAAAATGTGTGATATTGTCTATTCTTCTTTTATAAACGTACTTAGTGGTCAATTGTAGAAGTAGGTTATATTTGCATAATGTTGATTCTAATATTTTATATAATATATAGTGTTAAACGGTAGAAATAAGAGAAGGAGAATGCATTCAAGTGAGTGACATTGTTATTATTATCAGAAACTGATGTACACAATAATGAGATGATACTGTTGTAAAAGTTAAAAAACGCGTTCCAGACAGTTTTCTATATTTAGTGATATCATCTTCATTTCAGGTATCGGGTTTGGCCTTATCTACCTTCCTGCCATAGTTAGTGTCAGTATATACTTCTCCACTAAGAGGGGCGTGGCTACGGGAATCGCCGTATGTGGCTCAGGGATGGGAGCCTTTGTATTTCCCCCTGTATGTCAGAAATTGCTCGAAACTTACAACTGGAAGGGAGCAGTCCTCATTCTAGCAGGCCTATCATTAAACTGTGTTGTTTTTGGCGCCCTAATGCGACCTCTAGGGCCTCCTCCTCCTCGTAATGTTAAACCGCTGTTGCAAAGGATTGCTGAAGATAAAGAACGCCAGAGGTCAACTTCTTTGTACAACAGTCAATACATTTTAGTGCAGCGTCAAGATGGTACTTTTGAAAAGTTTCCATTACACCACCGAGAGATCCGTGAAGATTTTTCCAAGATGAACATGAACAATGAGCCTGGAGTACAGTCCAACCTTTATCTGGACGATGTCTCCACTTACTACCCAGAGCCTCCACTGTCCACTCTCTCACCCATTGAAGAGGCCAGAAAGTCCCCTTCAAGCTCTAAAGAAGATGACAGTGAAACCAAAACAACCACTACCGGTAAAACGTCTTCAGATACCACTGAACAACGATCACGTAGCTTGAATGACCTGTCCACACAACTCCTTTCCGATGAGAATCTCATAACTGTAGCTGATTCTAAAGCTGTTGACGATGATACTCTCAATCAAAATGAACAATATGAGGCAGGCTGTCCCAAGAATGAGAAAGTAATAAAGACAGACATTTTACCTTCGGCTTTGGTCAACCAAATTGCTAAAGAAAAGGGAGTAGGTCTTGGTGATAACACGGCAAATCTATGTCTTAGCAATCTTGCTGTAAACAACGACAATTTAAATAGACGGCGTTCCTCCGTCAGATTTGCAAGTGGCTCCCTCTATCCGGCTAAAAGTCACAGTGAAATGTTAGATGGTATGATAAAACGATTAAGAGGTGGGCATGTAACTACCAGCGGTAGTAGAAGGGCATCTTTAAAGCCTCAGTCTTACGTGGTCACATCAGGAAGTAGCCGAAGGTCATCACTGAGAAGCCGTAGGTCGTCAGTTAGGTATGACCGACGGGAACTAGCACGCCCTCTATACAGAAAAGACGTTTTCTACAGTGGAAGCATTGCCCATCTGTCTCAGTACATTAATTCTCAAAGGGATGTCCGCTCCTTTGTCGCCAGTGTGACATCCATCCCTCGCAAAAGCAGCATGGTGGATACTGTGCCTAGTTTCATTGAAGGGAAGACTGGAGGATCTTGCACTTGGTTCCATCTTCCAAGCAGCTTTACTAGCGTCATAAGGGAAGTGTTAGATTTTTCACTATTAAAGAATCCCATTTTCTTCGTGTTATGTTTGTCCAACGTCTTCGGTATGATGGGGTTTTACATCCCATTTGTCTATATCACAGATAGCTCTGTAGTTAAGGGCATTTCTCGGGAAAAAGCAGCTTTCCTGCTCTCAATCATTGGAATCATGAATACTTTGGGAAGGCTTATCTTTGGATGGATAGCTGACCGTCCGAGAGTGAGTGCGCTTTTCGTAAACAACATATGTCTGACGCTAGGGGGCATCAGTGTTTTCATCGTCCCATTCTGTCCATCTTATATAACAGTCGTGGCTTCCTCAGTATGCTTTGGACTTTTCATCTGTAAGTACCTGTTGTTTATTTGTTATAATGCTATGGTATGTAAAAGAAATCAAACAATCTTTATTTACCAAATACATCGACATCTGATGATTAGGACTTACTCGAAATAAATATTACAGGAATTCCCAAGTCTTTTTTTTTTTATCTTAGAAAATCCATATTCTAAAGAACAGGGAACTAGGTTAAATCATATTTGCTCCGAGTTTCTTGGTGATAAAATATACAAATGAAATAAGTTTATGCGTTATTATCATATGTTTGGAAGCCTGTCTCATATAATAGGGAACATTCCTGTCGAAATCGAATTTCTGTAAGAAAGTTAAAAACATTGATGGAGAGTACCACATCTGTCGAAAAAACAATAATTTAACCTGTGTCACACTCAAGTATT